CTCTGTCTCGATGAATCTCCATTCCAAGAATCTTCTTCGTAGGACCCAAGTCTTTCATGTCAAATTCCTGGCTCAATAAAGCTTTCAAATCACAAACATCATTCATATTCTTTGCAACAATCAGTATATCATCAACATACAGTAACAAAAAAATAATAGAACCATCATCAAGGCTTTTCACATAAACACAACAATCATACTCACATCGCCTGTAGCCAATCTGCATCATGTAGGAGTCAAACCGCTTGTACCATTGTCTTGGAGACTGTTTCAACCCATACAGCGATTTCTTTAACCTGCAAACCAGATGCTCCTGTCCAGGTTGAGTGAACCCTTCTGGTTGCTCCATGTAAATCTGCTCCTCTAAATCACCATGCAAGAAAGCAGTTTGAACCTCTCCAAATGCAAATCCCAAATAGCTACTAATGCAAACATTGCCCTGATTGAAGTATGTCTGACCACATGAGAAAAAATTTCATCATAATCAATCCTCTTCTGCTGTGAAAATCCCTTTGCAATCAGTCATTTGCAACAAGTCGAGCCTTGAACTTTTCCCCTTCTTTTTCTGATACTGTTGGTTTCCTTTTGTAGACCCATTTGCACCCAATAGCCTTCTTTCCCTCTGGAATCTGAACTAGCTCCCAAGTGTGGTTTTTCTGCAAAAACTCCATCTCCTCAACCATTGCACCCATCCATTTTTCTTTCTCCTTGCTAGTGATAGCTCTTTGAAAAGTGGCTGGATCATCGCTGCTGATGAGAAGTGCACAAGAGACCAAGTCTTCATAACCCAATCTACTAGGAGGCCTTACATTGGTGCATCTCTGTTTATCTTTGGCTAGATTATAATTCTGCAAATGATCTGGAATAAAATCACCAGGTGTTGAATTTGAACTTTCACCTCTCTCAGAAGTTACTGGCTGCTGTTCTAAATCCATCTGCACAGCATCTGAATTGGAACTCTTCTCTGACACCTTGTCTTGATTCTGCTGTAACATAAACTGCTCATAAAAAAACTGCATCTCTGCGGATCATCTCTGCGCTGCATCTCTGCGGATCACCATCTTCTTTGCAATCAGATCTCAAAACTTGTATCCTTTCACACATTTCTTGTAGCCTAGAAAGATGCACTTCTTGGAATTTGCATCAAGTTTGGATATTTCATCTTAGGTACATGTTTCTTCTTCAGGTACATGCACATAAGCATGACATCCAAAAATCCATAAATAATCAAATTTAATTGGATTACCTGTCCATACCTCTTCTGCGACCTTGTCACCCAATGATGCTTGAGGTGATCTATTGATGAGATAGCATGTCATATTCACAGCCTCTGCCCAGAAACTCTTAGGAAGTCCTGCATTCAGTCTCAAGCACCTTGCCTTTTAAGTTAAAGATCTGTTCATCCTTTCTGCCACACCATTCTGTTGTGGTGTCCTGCGCACTGAAAAATGCCTTTGAATCCCATGCTCCTCACAGAACTTCTGAAACTGTGAATCTGTGTACTCTGTACCATTATCGGACCTCAAATACTTGATATTTCTGCTAATTTGGTTCTCCACCTCAACTTTCCACAACTTGAATTTAGAGAAGACTTTAGATTTCTGCTTAAAGAAATACACCCAAACTTTCCTGGTATAAAGGTAACGAAATACTTAAATCCTCCCAATGATAACGCCCTAGTAGGGCCCCATACATCAGAATGCACATATTCAAGAATTCCTTCAGTTTTGTACTTTCCAGTCATAAAACTGACTCTAATCTATTTTCTAAGAATACAGAACTTACAAAGATCGAGCTTGCGGCTTTTAACCCCATGCTACAGATTTTTTCTATGCAATTCTACCATCCCACGTTCACTGAGATGACCCAAACGCATATGTCATAGCTTTGTGCTGTCATTATCTGACTCAACAGAATGAACTCCACCTACAACTGTACTCCCTAACAGTCTGTAGATATTACCTGCAGTCAACTTTCCTTTCATCACCGTCAGTGCACCCTTAACAATTCTGATGGTTTCCCTATCCTCATCAGCCTTAGGAATAAAACCATTTCTGTGTAGAGTGCCTAAGGAAATAAAATTCTTCTTCAGATCTGGAATATGTCTGACATCACATAACGTTCTAACTGTGCCATCATACATCTGAATTCTGACTTCTCAAATACCGACTATATTGCAACATCTATCATCACCCAAATAGACTGAGTCAGAATTAGTTGACCTGTATGGAGTAAACCACCCCTGTTAGGTGTTATGTGATAAGAGCACCCTGAATCAAGAATTCATGCATCCGTGAACTGAGTTGATGAAACTGAGAGCATATCGCCATCACTGCAATCTGAATTATCATTCTGCATCACATTTACAGACTTCGATGAAGCATCACCTTTATTCTCAGTCTGCTTCTTCAGCTTTGGACAATCTCTCTTCATATGACCTGGTTCATTGCAACTGTAGCAATGAATTGTCTTTTTGCCTTTAGACCTGGATATGGAATTTTGCCTTCCAGAATGCTCCTTCTCTTTCTTCCTTCCACAATCCTGCTTACCCTTAACATATAAACTGTCGCCGTGAGAGCTTTCCCCTGCATTCTGCTTCCGTTGCTTGTGAGCCAACAACGCTGCAGTAATCTCATCAACTTTGATAGTCTCTCTCCCATATGTCAGAGTAGTCACCAGGTGTTCATAGGAAGAGGGCAAGGAACAAGACTCAATTCTCACATAAAGCCGTGACAGGTCTGTGATTATTTGATTGAAGCCATTAACATATTGCGCTAGATCAGACTCTTCTTGCATCTTCAACCCATACAATTTTTGCTTCAGATACAACTTGTTCGTCAGAGATTTTACCATAAACTGAGTTTCCAATTTCTTCTAAATCTCCCATGGAGATTTCAGATTCATCACGTGATACATAACCTCATCTGCTAAGTTTCTGTCAGACATAGACGTATCGTCGCTGCCGCTCGCTGTTGCAATTCTTCCCAATCTTCATCCTCCATGGCATCTGGTTTCGTCGCCCGCAAAGCTTTCAAGATTCCCTGTTGAGCCAATAGATCTTTTATCCTGGTTTGTCATAATCTGAAGTTAACAGTTCCGTCAAACTTCACCACCTCAAATTTCGCACCAGAAAACGTCATCTGAAAAATTAAACCTGCAATGAAATTTTTTGCAAAAAATTCCTTTGTAAAAATCCTTGCTTAGACCCCTTTTTTTTAAATTGAAATATATCATTCCTCCAAGAAAATTTGAAAGTATCCCTTCCAAATCCGCAGTCTCCAGCATAGAGAAAATTTTAATTAAGTTTCCTTAATTAAATATTTTCTTTAAATCAACTTAATTAAAAATAATTTTTATTTTAATTAAGTCGAAATCAATAACTTTACTTTTTCCATAATATTCTCCTAATAATTAATTTCCCGCAGCAAAGGAAATTAATTTTCCCTGTTTTGACGGAGAATATTCTCAAATATTCCTTTGATTTTCCTTCCTTTCCGCGACCAACGCAAAAGAAAAATAAATTGCAACTTTCCTTTCTCCTCCAACAAGTTCTTCCTTTCCCAGAAATCGGAACCCAAGAAGAAATTGAAAATCCAAGATTCTCCTTCCCTTCCAATTTCGTTTCTTTCTACGTATTCCTACGTCCAAAGCTTGCCGTCGCAGCTCCTCGGCGAATCTGGCTCTACGACAACCATTTACCCGCGATTCTCGAACTTCCCGTGTCGCGAACCTTCTGCCGCGCAGAAGCCTCCGCCTTCGCCTGGGGAAGAGGCAATAATGTACGCAAACTCCTCTAACCGCGAACGCCTGCGATTCCTGTCGAGAATCTCGCGAACTGCGGTGATCCTCCGCGAACAGCGTCTCCTGAACCGTCCGCCCAGGCGACGAACAGCTTCCCTCTGCTACGTCCGTAAATTCCGCGAACAGCTTTGCCTCCAAGTGCTGCCCGGTTCCCTTCCGCAAGAACTTTCGCCCGATTCACAGAGCCTCGCACGTCTCCGAACATCTCTGCCGCGAGAGGAGAACCAATTGCGAAAGGCGTCTGCGAACTGGCTGTTTCCTGGAATAGCCGAAAAACTGCGTTGAAATTCTGGTTTCGCCGAATTCCTCTCCCTCAAATCTCCGGCAAATCGAAACTGCCGCAAACCTTTCTTTTTGCGTCGCCTTAATTTTTCTTCCCTGCACTCGAACCAGGCTCTGATATCACTTGTTGTGAAATTAGGACGAAGAAAAACAGTAATCGACACAAATCCAGAAGAACACAGAGATTTAACGAGGTTCGGCAAAGATGCCTACGTTCTCGGGAGCAGAGAGACGAGTTACTTCTACTATTCAGAAAGAGGTTTACAGAAATCAGGAATACCTTCTGGGATTACTGACAGACCTATTTATAACCCCAAGAGTAAACCTTAGACACAATATGTAATTACAGCATTACCTTTGTATCATACTGCGGGACTTTGCCCCCGCACCCCAACCCACGTAACTTCCCAATTTGGACAGATTCTTCCGCTCCGCTCCGCTCCGCTCCGCTCCGCTCCACTTCGATTCAGTGTCTGTTCCTATATGATAATTTGGGTTTGGACCCGTTTTCGAACATACTTTAAATGCAACTTTTTAACTTTTTTGAGAACTATAAATTCTGTGATATTTTAATTATTTAATAATAACAATCAAATAATAATAATTTAAAACACTTTCATGTATTCTACCTTACACCTATTTTATAAAAACAATTTACTTTGAAACTCTCATATTTTCTATTCAAAATAAAGGAATTCGACCAAACTTCGGCCGCGCGCAAAATAACAGATGTAATGATTAAAAAAAAAAGTAATTACATTTACAACTTAACCAGCCAACTAGCGAAGGCCCAATTTAGGGTTAAAAAATAGAGGCCTCTAAATTTGAACTCGGCAACATTCCTCACAAATTATGCCACAGAAGCTTACCAAAGAGCGGGCTGAAGGTAATTTTGAAAGCCTTGACGAGGTTCTCCAGCTTCTCAACCACTCTTCCCCATTCCAACATCTCTCCCCCTCCGTTGCCGTACAACTTCCGGCGATCTTCACCCTTCAGGTGACTAGACTTTCTGCGAAAGTTTAGGTTTTTGCGCTGGTGTGACACCTCCTGGCACCGCAAAAGGGAGTGCGGCTATGCTTTGAAGCAACAGTGGAGTGATGGCGATGGCATCCAACGAGCCTACGCGCGCGAAGATGGCGCAGCTTCGAATGGCCTGTGAGCAGGAAATACGAGCCTGCCGAGAGAGATATGGACTTCTGGCGACCTCCATTCGGGAGTCGATCAAGTCCATAAAGGCATTAGTTGAAAATGCCCAAATAAATCGAGGTCAGATTTTGCTATTCTAGGGTTTCTCGGCAACGGGAAACCCAATTTGTTCCAGCCGTGCTGTTTCTAGGGAACATTATAACGTGTTTCATTGCTTTTTCTCGACCCATGTAGTTGAATGCCTATAAAAGACATGATAGTTTCAAAATTATTTTCTTTTAGATGCTAGTTATTGTTCTTAGCTTTTATCTGTTCTTAAATTTATCGAAGCTAACATTAGTACATGAAATCTCTTTACAAGAATAAGTATTAATAAATGCATCCCTATATAGCAAGGGTAAGTTTATCTCTTAAACAACAAAGAATCACCTTCCACATAGAGATCACAAATAATCTAAAATTTTGTTCATGATGTTGATCGTTCTTGCTCCAATGTGCGGTGTTTCACAAACCCCCATATTCAAATGGATCTAAATTAGAGCATTCGATACATCAAACGCTAAACTTTATATAATCATAATAATTAATCAAGCATATTGTTGTAATAAATAATTATAATAGTTGGCCTAATTTTTACCTCATAACTAACCCCATTAGCCATGCATTATTATTGTTCTCTATGTTAATATTTTTCTTATAATAAACTTAAAACAAACATTATTACTACAAATTGGTCAAACCTTCATTAGCAACGCAATTCAATATCCCTTCTTTTAAATTAATGTTTTAGTTAAGGGTCAAAATTCAAAATAGTCCCTTGATTGTTCGAATGTGGTCAATTTAATCCTAGAGTACTACATTTCTCTAATTTAGTCCATTGACCTTTCAAAATTGATCCACACTGATCATTTGTGTACTTAGTTGAGGTCAATTTTATATAATTGAGAGACTACAATGGGGATAAATTTTTATCATAATTTTTATATGAGAGCCATTTCGGATTAATTTTGTATATTCAAGAGACTAAATTGGAGAAACTTGATATCTTGAGACACACAGATAGTTAGGGATTATTTTTAGAATATTTTATTTAGTTAAATATTAAGTTTCATAAATTAACCCATCATGTTGTAGTTTATATGTATATACTTATGTGTATATATATATATATATATTAAATTTTAGAATTTTTTAGAGCTTCTACACATGCACAACATTTATCTCACAAATTTAACACTTGGATAGTATCACTTTGAAGAGAAAATCAATCACATAAATAATGCTACGTTAGGATTCAATTAGTTTTGAGTAATCTCATTTCCAATTTAGAGCCTCCTAACACTACCCTATTTCATTTCTATAGAACAATACAATTTAATCAAGCGTTAATAACAATATGAGAAACTAGGATTGAGGTTTACCTTTTAAGCACACAAAGATGAAGGTAGTGGTGGTGTAAAAAGGAGGAGAATAAGAAGTAGACATTGACACTTATATTTTCCCCTTGCTTGGCTTTCTCACCATTGAACTTGTAAAGGTAGGCGTGGTTGCTGATCACCGCTTGCTCATATCTGTATGAAACATGCCGTAGTATTTGACGTAAATCATTGTCTTGAGCCTTGTTATCCAATCTCATCATTACTCATCCTTTCTCACTCACTTGCTCACCCGAGTCTTGCCTTAAGTGCTGATTTGAGAGTTTATATATATAGAAAAAGTGTGGAATGAAATATATGGCCGGGCTTGGTTGGACCGGTGGTCCAAGAGGATTAAATAGGGGTTGTTACTGTCTACATTAACATTGAAGGCATAAGTGTAAAAGAGAAACTACCACATGACTGAACCCATGAATCCTATGTTGTTCGGAGATTAATACTTCTACATCGAGGATCAACCATTTTCATTATATTTTTTTGGGTTATAATTATAAGATATGAAACGCTTTAAGTTGAATGATAAGATAGCTATCAAATTATATAAATTATTACATCGCCTCAACTTCTCTCTAATCACTAGCTTGGTCAACTTACTTGTTTGATTTTGTGCACCATTGATCTTCTCCCATATCGTGGTTACATTATCCAATAATCTATTAATAAAATGATACACTGAATATATTTTGTTCTCACAGGAAAGGAAAATAGTGCGTAGTTTGAGCCTATCATTCTATGATCTAGCATAACACACGTATATATCCACTAATATACAAATTTGTTGTAGTCAATCATGTTGGCAACAATATTTTAGTTTTTCTTATTTTTTCTTATGTCAAAGAACTATTTAAATGATCATTTGCTGTAACTTTTTTAGTTTCTCTTCAAAGTCTTGTCTCTTTAAATATAATTTGACCAGGCATTGTTGAGAATTGGACGTTAGTTATGGTCTGATTGGAAAAAATGGGAGTATTGAAGAAATCTAGGGGTTTATTTGTAAAATCTTGTACCCTATTTAAGCCCATGTTATGAATGTACATATTAGTTTTTTGGGGCAATTATTTCATTATGGTTTTAGAGCCCTAACAACCCTAACCTAACCGTCACTCGGAATCGGGCATACAAAGACCCAAAACTTTCTCTTCCTTCCTCTTCATTTCCGTCCTCGTGAAGTTGAACGAAGCGAACACAACTAGATTTAGCTGGGACGCTAACGATGGGATCATGATTTGTAGCTTCACGATACAGTCGCGATTCAAGCTACCCAAGGATGTGTTGATGGGATCGCGACGATACAATCACGATTAGAGTTAACTGGGAAGGCAATGATGAGATTGCGACGTACAAACTTGAAGGACATGTGATATGATCTTTGTGAATATGCTTGGATCCTTGAGATTGAGGATGTCAGGATATGGAGATAGTGCGAGATGTAAAAAATTGAAGCTTTTGGGGAAGATATGTCCCGAAGTTCTTAAGGTCTTGATTAGGCTCATACAAGGAGCTACCGTCTCTACGGGAGCCACTTCCTTAACACATGCTTCGACATAGGTGAAGCTTGATCTCCCTCATATGTATTTGAAGCTTGATGCATCGACTACGTATCTGAGTTCGTCACGTTAGGTCGATGCTGCTCTAGTAGAGTAGAGACTAGAGGGATATCTGATCAGGGATGAACTAAATAGTGACAGTGCTGAGGGAGATAAGTGGAGGACCACAAACTTTTTAATCGATACCTAACTACTCAAATCGATGGTTTCGTCAATTACATCATCAGTAGATGACATTCGAAAGGTGAGGGACATCCGAGCAAAGCTGAAGAGGATTTATGCTGGGATGGAGAAACATATGAGAATGTTACAGATTTAATGTGAGATAGAAGCAGTGGTACACGGTGAATGATCGATTCAAGAATACGCCATAGATCTAGAGCTGCTGTGGTAGATCTTGATCACTTCTTACCGATGTCGAGCCGTGGCAATTTGCTTTACACATATGAGGACTATGTAGTTTCTAGCTCATATGGATCTGATCTTTGATTAGAGGAGATCAATTCTTCTAGCTCAACTGACTATCCCTTCAGTGGATGAGAATATTATTGTAATGATACAAGAGGAGAGTTGTGTGAAGCTACACCCTGAGCCGAGTGGATTTTGGGTGTGCGATCCATTTGTATTATAGGTGTCCAAGGGGAGACTCACAAGTGCTACAACTGTAGTGAAGTCGAGCATCTGAGCAAGACCTGTCGTAAGCAACTTAAGGGGAAAAAAACACAGGTGAACGTGGACAGGTTAGAGGACGTGGTCCTGGCTTTGGTGGTCGTAAAGGTGGAAAAGGGGGCTACTAGGCAAGTCTGATGGTAGAAAAGGAGGGAGAGACATGTGATTTTTACCAATGAGGATCATGAGTGTCTGGAGTTGTTGAAGAGAAAACAGAAAGCAACAGGAGATGGGGCTAAGGATGCTTCCAACCACTGTCATTGAAGGGTAACGTTATCACTTATACTCACTCTAACAAATATACTTTTGAAACACATTTTCTTGCCTCTATTTCCACCACAGGATCATTAGAATAGGTAGTAGATTCCGACACGTCTCAACATGTGAAACTACTTCCTACACTCCCCTAACTCCCCTAGCAGTACCAGAGAACATCCAAACTGCTGATGGTGCAACACAATCATTAGTTGGTAAGGGTATTGTGATGATACTAATTATATGACTTTATCCAATGCTTTTCATGCTTCTTTTCCAGTGAACATCTTATCCATTAGTGCCATTATTCTCTAACTAAAATGTGTTTTTCATTTGATGCTCTTAAAGTGATTTTTCAAGAGGAAGGGACGGGTCGGACGCCTGGGACTGAAATGTGACATAATGGACTCTGGTACTTGGACCGGGAGGGGAACCAGAAGGGGATGAATTCAACTTCGACATCCATGGTAGAGAGTTGTAGAGTCGGAGAATTTGAGAAGAGTGTGGAGGATGTGTTGCTGCTACATCACAAACATATGAAACACGCTTGTTTTAATTTATTAAGTCAGTTGTATCATTCTTTATATGAAAAAGACAAATATACAAAAGCTTGTTTGTAATGCTTGTGGGTTTGACAGGCTTATTAGGAGCTCTTATATCAGTTCTTGGAATAGTTCTAGTATTTTTAACTTGATGCATTCTGATGTTTGACTTTGCAAGTTCTATGAATGATTATTGATATTTTGTAATTTTTTTATTGCTTTTCTCGTTTTACTTGGTTAGATTTGATGAAAATTAAGGGTGTTGTGTTGCTTGCCTTAAAAACTTTCATAAGACAATTTAGACTCAATTTGGTTATACTAACAATTGGTGAATACTTGTCAGCCTAAGAGATACCATATCAAACTACATGTCTATACAGACCAATACGAAATGTAGCAAAATAGAAAAATAAAACCTATTTAGAGATAGCTCGAAGCATGACGATTATAATAAATGTCTCAAAACACTTATGAGATTAAACAATTTTGATGGCTGCTTAATTGATCAACAAGATGTTCTGAGGGTGTTGGATTTGAAGTCTCATTATCAGACGTTGAGATAATAGCAAGATCTTCTCATTGAAGTTTGGATGCGTATGTTTTTTGAAAGATAACTTACCATCAATAAGGAAGGTTGGATTCTAGAGCTATGAAATGCGTGTTCATAGTTTATTCTTCTACTTAGAAGGCGTATGACTGTTGGAGCCCGAGAGAGAAGATAACATTTGTGAGCATGAATATGCCATTTAGAGAATTTGAACCATATTGCACTGTGGAGATGACCTCACCCTTCTGTGACTCATCAGATATTTGAGATATGAGGCAAGATGGGTGAGTATCAGTGGTGAGAGAGTGGTACACATGGGAGAAAAGTTTTATCCTATGATGTGGGATGCATTAGTCGATGAACCGAAAAATGAGGATAGTGAATCTAGAGGTGGTGGGATTCAAGGCTAGAGATGAACTAAGAGTGTATACACGAAAAAGGAAGCAAAATGAGGGAGTCGTGCTGACAGTGCCACTTATGCCAGCTAGTCTCTTGTTCCGGTATTCCCCAACTCTTGAGCACCTGCACCATCCACCTCTGACTCAGAACTCCCAGGTGATACGATTCCTCCTTCTTCATCTTCTAACCCCTCAACTTTAAGGAGAACCTCTCGCAGCAATGTAGAATATTCTTCTGATAGTTTAATGTGGGAACATGACATTGCTAACTTTTTTTTATATTCTAACATATCACCTTTACATGGGGCATGCATTGCTTTTTTGGACACTGTCTCTATACTCAAGTGTTGTCAGATTGTTAAGGAGGATTCAAGTGAAAAGTGGCTATGCATGCAGATCTTAAGGCTCTTGATAAAGAATGAACATGTGAAATAGTGCCACTACCAACAGAGAAAAAAATAGTGGAGCGCAAGTGGATCTTCATAGTGAAATAAACTCCATAAAGAAAGTTGGAACTGTACAAACTATGACTGGTGTTGCAATGCTGCAATCAGACATATGACATTAACTGTAATGAAATCTTTACACTGGTAGCAAAGATGAGCACAGTGAGGATACCGATTTTTCTGACAGTGAATGGTGGGTAGAGTCTACACTAACTTGATGTGAGAGTGTATTTATTCACGGTGAGTTACCAGAGGAGGTATATATTCGGATACCACCAGGATTCGGTACAGTCGAAACATGGGCTAGGAGTGTAGGCTCAAGAACTCACTATATAACTTGAAACAGTCTTCTCGAGTCTGGTTTGATAGTTTAGAAAGGCCATGGCGGGCATGTGATATCAACAGATAAATGCAGACTATATTGTATTTTTTTGACAACATGAATGTTAAACTACCATACTTGTTGTGTATGTTGATGACATAATTGTCACCTATGATGATGAGACAGAGGTTGCTAAACTAAAGGTAAGATTGGACAATGAATTTGAGGTGAATGATCTTAAACGACTCAGATAATTTTGTGGGATTGAAGTGACCGTGGACTTGAGGGGATGGTCTTGTCCGAGAGAAAGTATGTATAATATATCTTCACGGAAACAGACATGCTCGGTGCAAACCTACAATATAATTTCGTGGGTTTGAAGTGACCGTGGACTTGAGGGGACGATCTTGTCCCAGAGAAAGTATGTATAATATCTCTTCACGGAAGCAAACATGCTGGGTGCAAACTTACAACCTCTCAAATTGATTAGAAGACCAATCTGAGTGCAAGGCAGGAGAATCGATTGATTGTGAGATGTACAAGTGATTGGTGGACCGTCTGACCTATCCGTGTTGCACTCGACCCAACATCTGCTTTGCCGTGAGTGTGGTGAGCCGCTACATGCATGATCAAGTAAAGGTCATATGGATGCATTATATCATATTCTTAGATATCCGAAAAGAGCATCAGGGAAGGGGTTGTTTTTCCAGAAGAATGGACATGTAGACATTGAGGGTTTTTGTGACACTGATTGGGGAAGTTGTGCAGACGACAGATGATCCACCTCAGGATACTATATGTTTGTGCGGGGCAACTTGTTCTCGTGGAAGAACGAGAAACATTCTTTTGTAGCGAGGTCAATAGCAAAGGCAGATTACAAGGCCATGGCCTTAGAAGTTGCCGATATGATGTGGCTGAGAGCTTTGTTGGTTGAGTTCAAGGTGGACCAAGGAACTCAAATGAAGCTTTGGTGCTACAACAAGTCAACAATTAACATTGTCAACAACTTGATGCAACACGATAGATCCAAACATATGGAGATCAATGGATTTTTCATCAAGGAAAAGCTAAATAATTGGCTACTGGAGCTAAGTCATGTAGCTACTGGAGAGCAAATAACTGACTGCCTCAATAAAGGAATTAGTTCATTAGATTTGTCTAGGTTGTGTGAATAGATGGGCTTAGTGGATATCTTTTGCCCAACTTGAGGGGGTGTGTTGAGAATTGACCCTTATTTAGGATCCTATTGGAAAAAAAAAGGGAATATTGAAGAAGTCTATTGATTTACTTGTAAAACCTTGTACTACCCTATTTAAGCCCATATAATGAATGTACAAATTTGTTTTTGGAGCAGTTATTTCATTAGGCATATCTCATGTTTTAGCTTTAGTAAATGCCCATGATGCATGCGTTTGTTATAATAAATGTGTAATTTTAGCCTATGGAGCAATGATCAGCTGTTTAGCACAATCACACGGACGGTTATGTTGATCCTGAAATTGTGGTCAAAGTCATCGAATAGCCTTTCTTTACATATTCTTCCTTATGATTACAGTATTTTGAATTTTAGGGCGCAATATCATGTTAAATGCCATATTAAATTGCCATATTAAATTGCCATAATATTCTCTTACCTTTATGAGAATATTATGGCACACAAACCAGACTCTCAACATTGTATTTTAATTAATTTTTTTATTTATCCTCACTCATGTCGTTTTTTTATTCTTTTGTTTGACCATGTCTTGTTCCAACACTGCAGGAAATCTTGCTAAGCTCAAAGATCACTTAAAGGAATTGGAAGACAGTTTTCGTTATGCTCTAAAAGGTATTCTCATGTCAGAAAACTTTTTATTTGTAAATATATATCTTTTAAGTTATCTAAACTAGAGAACTAATTTTCAAGACCCTTAGTAAGTTCTTAAGTTGTCTTTTATTGCTTACGTACCAATAAATTTAGGACATTACGAACTCTTTACAATAATAAACGGATGTAAACATGCTGCACATTATTATTACATAAATATGCAAATATATTTAAAATGATAATTGCTATTTTAACTATTGATTAATATTTTATGCTAGTATTTAAAATAATAATTATTATCAAATATCGACATACATTATATGGTTGCAAAAATATATACTAGTACCCAGAAATATGCACCTCAGTCATGCAGTCTCACATGTACACATGGGAAAGACATACATCTATACAAACATTTATTTGTATGCAGATATAAATACTCGAGAAGAGATACATACACACATACATCCATAAAGTAGATTTTATGTCACAAAAGATTAATTTCAACATTTGACTCCAAACAAATTGATTTTGATTTTTTGTCCGTCAAAACCTTGACCAATAATTGAGCAGCTTTTGAACATAATTAGTCATGGCTTTTATTATATTTTGCCTTCCAAACCATCAACTTATCATTCTCCTAAAAGGAAGGTTTATTAGATACTATCATTTTTTGGCTATTTAACTAACTAATTATCAGGTTTGGGCCAGATCATTTTGGTAATTTTGTTTTCGGTTTTAGTAAGTATTTTATGGGCTAAAGGGTGGTCACCTCTAACTACGCAACAGACAATTTTAGTTAATCTGCAATTTTTTATTGTATTTTCTTTTTTGATTTTATATTTCCCTAGATCTTGTGAAGTGTTAAACAATGTTGTTATGAAGTCTTGTTTAGCCTTCAATAATTCTGGCTGCTCCCAGAAATGCATAATATTTTTTGCTGTAACGGAGCATGTTGTAACTATTCTTTGATAACATTCGTTTTATATGCCACATATCCTCTTCAGCGGGATTGCTACCTAGAAGATCATAAATTTCTTTTTTTTTTCCGAAGTATTTGTAGCACTTTTGTGCGTGGTTTTTAGTTCTCTTTGACTTGGTCACAAGTAATTATGGCCTTTTTATTTATCTATCTTTGTAGTAAATGCCTCCAAAGATGCCAAACATACATCCATTTCTGAAGCTATCTCTGCCATGGTAGTAAGAATTGAGCATCTGAAGAAAACAGTTGATGATCAGAGGGCAAAGAAGGATGAGTATGAAGCAGTGCTATCACGGCAGTTACTTGGTAAATGTTACTGCCTAACCTTTTGTTTTTGTCATCATTCTTAAATTTAATCACAATTTGTTATGCTGGTTGGCTTCATTTGCTTGGGATAAAGTTAGCCTTAACTCTAATATGTTTTTCAATTAAGTTAATGGTTATTGTTCATTTTGGGTTGAGTTATCAAAAACCAACTTCTAATGAAATAAGTTTCATTGCACCAGGCAAATAAGTTAGGGGTGTAAAAAATTAACCCGATAGACCAACTCGACGTGATTTTGACTCAAAAAGTCCATGTTTGAGTTGACCCGAATAATTTTGGGTTGGGTTCAAATTAAGAATCCCAATCCTTTTTCAAGTCGGGTTCAGGTTGACCTGCCAAACTTGAAATTGAATCAAAATTGGCTTGCTAACCCGGAATCGACCCATCAATCCGAAATTGACTTAAAATCAATTCACCGACTAGGACTGCAAATGAACCAAGCAAAGTTAAGTGGGGCCGTGTTCAAGTTTGATCTTGTCTATAAAATTTGAGCTCAAGTCGAGCTCGAGCTCAAATCTCAGGCTCTTGGGGTTGTGTTCAAGCTTGAGCTTGTTTATAATATTCGAGGTTGAGCCGTGTTCGAGCTCTAATCAAGTTTTGTGTTTATGTTCAAGCTAGTTCTTGTTTGAGTTTGTTTCTTGTTCGTTTCATATGTTAATTGTGTCATTATCGAGCTGATTTATGAGTAAGTTATCGAGCTACTTAATTTCTATCTAAATAACTTTTGTTGAGCCATTTAAAATTATTGTCATTGTGTTATTTAGTTTCTAACTAAATAAGATTTATTGAATAAATTAATGAATAGTGTGGTTGAGTTATTTATTTTCTAATCAAACGAGCTTATAAATGAGTTACTTGTTGAACTTACAAAAATAAATGAGCTTTTAAATAATCTATTAAATGAACAACTAAAATAAACATATAAATGCATAAAATAAATGAGCTACTAAGCAAATAAATATTTATCTTAGTTTATGTACTATAAATTAAAATATAATTTATCTTAATATAAATTAATTTAAAATTATGCTTTTTATGAGCTTATTCATAAGCTTAAATTAAACTTTAACCGATTTTATTCATAAGCATTAAATCAATCTCATATATGAAATTTGAATAAAACTTTTATTGAGTTTCTTGACGAGCTTATTTGCGAGCTTTAAATGGTATTATTTGCAAACATAAATAAATCGTATAAGAAGTTGTTCAAGCTTGTCATTTAACAATCGAACATTTATAAAATTGCTCAAACTTATTCAATTAGTTAACCAAACAAATACGAACAAGCTCTTTTCGAGCCGCTACAAATAGCTTGCTAAACGCTCGGTTAATTTGCAGCTCCACTGCTGACCCCAAATTGAATCAAAATCAACCAACAAACACGAGGACCCGAGATTAACTCAAAATCGATCCAATTTTGACCCGAATACGACTTATGTTAATCAGGTCATATGAGTCATGTTTGGGTCAACGGGTTGAGTTCAGATTGAAATTTTTGACCCGTTTAATATTTGGATTTGGTTCAGGTAGAACAATTTTGGGTTGGGTTAATTTTGAGTCAGCTCCAAACTAGCATATATATACTATGATGCATATCTTTGATAATTAGTTAATGCCACATTCTTTACATGACTGATAATCCATGACATTGGCATTGGCACATAAAGAACCTGTTGTTGACATCTCACGGTAGTTAAATACATTCAATTGAAATAAAAAAGTTGTACTCTAAAGTATAACCAATGATAGGGAG